TGTCTCTGCCTCTGTCTCTGTCTCTGTCTCTGTCTCTTGTCTCTTGTCTCTCTGTCTCTGTCTCTGTCTCTTGTCTCTCTCTGTCTCTCTGTCTCTTGTCTCTCTGTCTCTCTCTCTCTTGTCTCTCTGTCTCTCTTGTCTCTGTCTCTTGTCTCTGCCTCTGTCTCTTGTCTCTCTTGTCTCTGCCTCTGTCTCTGTCTCTTGTCTCTGTCTCTTGCCTCTGTCTCTGTCTCTTGTCTCTTGTCTCTGTCTCTGTCTCTGTCTCTCTCTGTCTCTGTCTCTTGTCTCTGTCTCTTGCCTCTGTCTCTCTGTCTCTGTCTCTGTCTCTGTCTCTGTCTCTGTCTCTGTCTCTTGTCTCTCTCTGTCTCTTGTCTCTTGTCTCTTGTCTCTGTCTCTGCCTCTGTCTCTGTCTCTCTGCCTCTGTCTCTGTCTCTCTGTCTCTGTCTCTCTCTGCCTCTTGTCTCTTGTCTTGTCTCTTGTCTCTTGTCCTCTTGTCTCTGTCTCTCTTGTCTCTTGTCTCTCTTGTCTCTGTCTCTGCCTCTGTCTCTTGTCTCTTGTCTCTGTCTCTGTCTCTGTGCCTCTGTCTCTGTCTCTTGCCTCTGTCTCTTGTCTCTGTCTCTTGTCTCTGTCTCTCTCTGTCTCTGTCTCTCTTGTCTCTCTGTCTCTGTCTCTGTCTCTTGTCTCTCTGTCTCTTGTCTCTGTCTCTGTCTCTTGTCTCTTGTCTCTGCCTCTGTCTCTTGTCTCTCTCTTGTCTCTTGTCTCTTGTCTCTTGTCTCTTGTCTCTGTCTCTGTCTCTTGTCTCTGTCTCTTGTCTCTTGTCTCTCTGTCTCTTGTCTCTCTGCTCTGTCTCTCTCTCTCTTGTCTCTCTGTCTCTTGTCTCTTGTCTCTGTCTCTCTTGTCTCTTGTCTCTGCCTCTGTCTCTGTCTCTGTCTCTTGTCTCTGTCTCTTGTCTCTTGTCTCTCTCTGTCTCTTGTCTCTGTCTCTTGTCTCTTGTCTCTTGCCTCTGTCTCTTGTCTCTGTCTCTCTTGTCTCTTGTCTCTTGTCTCTGTCTCTTGTCTCTGTCTCTTGTCTCTGTCTCTTGTCTCTTGTCTCTTGTCTCTGTCTCTGTCTCTTGTCTCTGCCTCTGTCTCTGTCTCTTGTCTCTGTCTCTTGCCTCTTGTCTCTGTCTCTTGCCTCTTGTCTCTTGTCTCTTGTCTCTTGTCTCTTGTCTCTTGTCTCTCTGTCTCTTGTCTCTCTCTGTCTCTGTGTCTCTGTCTCTTGTCTCTGTCTCTTGCCTCTTGTCTCTGTCTCTTGTCTCTCTCTGTCTCTTGTCTCTGTCTCTGTCTCTTGTCTCTTGTCTCTTGCTCTGTCTCTTGTCTCTTGTCTCTTGTCCTCTTGTCTCTGTCTCTTGTCTCTTGTCTCTGTCTCTTGTCTCTGTCTCTTGTCTCTGTCTCTTGCCTCTGTCTCTTGTCTCTTGTCTCTCTGTCTCTGTCTGTCTCTGTCTCTGTCTCTTGTCTCTCTCTGTCTCTCTCTTGTCTCTTGTCTCTGTCTCTTGTCTCTTGTCTCTGTCTCTTGTCTCTGTCTGTCTCTGTCTCTGTCTCTGTCTCTTGCCTTGTCTCTGTCTCTCTCTGTCTCTTGTCTTGTCTCTGTCTCTTGTCTCTGTCTCTTGTCTCTCTTGTCTCTTGTCTCTCTGTCTCTTGTCTCTCTTGTCTCCTCTGTCTCTTGTCTCTTGTCTCTTGTCTCTGTCTCTCTGTCTCTTGTCTCTTGTCTCTTGTCTCTTGTCTCTTGTCTCTTGTCTCTTGTCTCTTGTCTCTCTTGTCTCTTGTCTCTTGTCTTGTCTCTTGTCTCCTCTGTCTCTCTTGTCTCTTGTCTCTGTCTCTTGTCTCTCTTGTCTCTGTCTCTTGTCTCTCTTGTCTTGTCTCTTGTCTCTTGTCTCTTGTCTCTGTCTCTTGTCTCTGTCTCTTGTCTCTCTCTGTCTCTTGCCTCTGTCTCTTGTCTCTTGTCTCTGTCTCTTGTCTCTGTCTCTGTCTCTGTCTCTTGTCTCTGTCTCTTGTCTCTGTCTCTTGTCTCTGTCTCTTGTCTCTGTCTCTTGTCTCTTGTCTCTTGTCTCTTGTCTCTTGTCTCTGTCTCTTGTCTCTTGTCTCTGTCTCTTGTCTCTGTCTCTTGTCTCTTTCTCTTGTCTCTTGTCTCTTGTCTCTCTTGTCTCTTGTCTCTTGTCTCTGTCTCTTGTCCTCTTGTCTCTTGTCTGTCTCTGTCTCTCTGCTCTCTGTCTTGTCTCTGTCTCTCTGTCTCTTGTCTCCTCTTGTCTCTCTCTGTCTCTGTCTCTTGTCTCTTGTCTCTGTCTCTTGTCTCTGTCTCTTGTCTCTTGTCTCTGTCTCTTGTCTCTGTCTCTTGCCTCTGTCTCTGTCTCTGTCTCTGCTCTCTCTTGTCTCTGTCTCTCTCTGTCTCTGTCTCTCTTGTCTCTTGTCTCTGTCTCTTGTCTCTGTCTCTCTTGTCTCTGTCTCTCTTGTCTCTTGTCTCT